TTGTAAACCATGTCACACCAACGATCTGAAGTTTCCAGGATTTGATTCCACGAGGTATCTCCTTTCTTGGAGTAAAGGACACACAAATCTCGAAGTACCCATAGAACAACATAATCTTTGGTTTTCTCATCAATCCAAATGACAGGGGATCGTATGCTAATACCTTTGTACTCCTTTCCGTTGTGACCTGTAATGAGAAACTTATTGCGAACTTTGTCGTTCCGAGCTGTGACTCCACAGGAGGTAGATTGATCCTCTTGTAAAGGGTGAATGTATTAATCTCATTAGAATAGCTTTACATCAGATTTATACAATGAGACGAGAGGAATTAGAGGAGAATCAGAGAGAAATTAGGAGAAAATCAATTACAATGAAGACCTAAATATATACTTTCTATATCTAGTTAATACGCCCTCTCAAGATGGAGTGTTCTTGAAAACTCCAATCTTGGTACACGCATGTTGAAACCGTGCTCGTTGAAGTGGTTTCGTTAACGTATCTGCTAGTTGGTAATTCGTCGAAACATGAGAAACCCGAAGCATTCCACCTTGAATTTGATTGCGAACAAAATGATAATCAAGAGCGATGTGCTTCATACGAGAGTGGAACACCGGGTTGGCACATAAGTATGTTGCTCCCACATTGTCACAATAGATAATAGGAGCTACCGGGAGATGAATGTGCAGTTCTGTGAGTAAGGAGCACAACCAACGGACCTCAGCCGCAGTATTGGCAACAGCCCTGTATTCGGCTTCTGTAGATGAGCGAGCAACACCACGTTGTTTCTTTGAAGACCAAGAAATGGGATTTCGGCCAATGTAGATTAAATAACCATTAGTAGACACAAAATCATCCGTATCACCAGCCCAATCCGCATCAGAAAACGCATGAATATTGAGTGGACAAGCTTTATGTAGTTGAATACCATGATGTTGGGTTCCAGCAAGATACCTTAGAACTCGTTTTGCCGCTGTCCAATGATTTTGAGTCGGCTTATGCATGAATTGGGAAAGACGATTCACTGCGTAAGATAAATCCGGTCGCGTGAATGCTAAGTATTGCAAGCTCCCAACAAGTAATCGATATTGTGAAGCATCCGTGAGAGCTGTACCATCATGAAGTGTGAGTTTTGGTGAAGGAGGCATGGGTGTTGCAACCGGTTTGGCATCGGTCATATTTTACTTAGCAAGAAGATCAGCAACATACTTTCTTTGCATCAAGTGTAGACCAGAGGAAGAGCGAGTTACTTCAACACCAAGGAAATAATGAAGATCAGTAGGATCTTTGATAGAGAAACGTGTGGCAAAGCTGGTGAGAACGTGGGCAACGTGCGATGAGGTGTCACCGGTGACAATTATGTCATCGACATAGACCAGAACATAGGTGATAGTTGTACCCGTGGAGTGAATAAAGAGTGATGTATCAGCAAGAGACTGTGTGAATCAATTATCGAGAAGATGTTGGCGTAACGACATATACCAAGCGTGGGGAGCCTGCTTGAGTCCATAGATGGGCTTACGTAGGCGGCAGACGAATGACGGTCGATCATGATCCACAAAACCTGGTGGCTGAGTCATGTAGACCTCTTCAGTCAATTCACCTTGCAAAAAAGCATTATTCACATCAAATTGTTTAATAGTCCATGAATTTACCGTCGCCACACTGAGAACGCGGCGAATGGTGGTGGTTTTGATCACCGGGCTAAACGTTTCAGCATAGTCTAGTCCGTACTGTTGTGTGTATCCTTTGGCAACAAGACGCGCTTTGTATCGATCAAGAGTGCCGTCGGAGTGAAACTTTGTCGTGAAAATCCATCGACAGCCGACAAGATTCTGATTGGAATTGGCTGGTACGAGATCCCATGTATGGTTAACCATATGAGCATCGAATTCAGTAGATGCTGTGCGGCTCCAATTTTCATCTTTTAAGGCTTGATTAATTGTCCGCGGTTCTGTGTTGCCGACTGGAGAACCTGTCACAGCAAGAGAAAATTTTTGTTTCGGTTTTTGAATGTTATTTTTGGCCCTGGTTTGCATTTTGTGGGTATTTTGATTTAGTGGTTGAGATGGTGTGGCGATTTGGGATTGTGTTTGGTTTTGGTTTTCAACGAGGGATTTGTAGGTTATGAAGGTGTTTTTAACATCGCATTTTCGTTTTAATGGGAACAGCCATGAATATCGAGTGAAATGGTCAATGAGTATGATGTAGTATTTGTAGTTATCGATGGAGAGTATGGGTGATGTCCAAACATCAGTATAGATATACTGAAGAGGACGTTGGGAGACTATAGAAGAGTTGGTGAAAGGTAATTTTTTGCTTTTATTAATCAGGCATTCCGAACAAGAGAAGTTGTTGTGGTTTGAAGGGGAAATAGGAATAGAAAAAGCAGAAACAATGGTGTTTAAAATAGACGAAGATGGGTGACCCAATCTTGAGTGCCATGAGTGGAGGCTTGTTTTCGGGACCAGAGGCAAACAATAGTGCCATTGCTTGAGAGCTTGAAACCGGCCACTCATACAACTCATCCTTAGTTCGTCCTTGGAGTAACGGGACCCCCGTATTGAGATCCTTCACCTGAAAGGAGGCAGGGAAAAATTCGACAGAAACGTTATTAGTGTTGCACAGTCGATATACAGAAATTAGATTCTTTTGTATATCTGGAACACATAATATTTTATCCAATGTCATGGTCGAAGATGAGAGGGGAAAGATTTGGAACCAGTGTGGGTGATGGTAAGGTTGGAACCATCGGCGAGTAATACATCATCGCCTCCAGTGTAAGGCTGGTGGAGGGAGAGATTGTTGAGATCGGAAGTTATATGATGTGTGGCTCCCGAGTCGACAAGCCAATTATTTGCTGTGTAAGGAGCATTAGCAACAAGGTTGGCTCGTGGTTGCCAAGGACGGAATGGACTCGGTGGCATCTGATTTGTTGCAGATTGAAGTGCCTGGATTTGTGGGCATCGGCGTGCACTATGCCCTTGAGTATTACAGAATTGGCATTTCCCTTGATATGGTCTCGGAGCTCTTGACTCTTCGGTGTATTGGGTCTGTTGTGAATGCCAGTTGTTGTAGTTTTTGCCATTGGTACGATTGTTGTTGTAGCGGGTATTGTTGCTCGAACTGGTATTGTAGTTTTTGTTGTTGGTGTTGTTGTTTGTAGGACGCTGTTGAACAGCGTTTGCAGACACAGGAAACGGAGACGAGAGCGTAGCATCGGAAGCAGAGAAGCTTGGCTTCATGGTTGAGAAGACGCTCATGAACTTCAGTGAGCGTCGGTGGTGAGTCCTTGCCTTCAATCTGGTCAACCACTGTTTTGTATTCATCTGGGAGCCCAGCCAAGACGAACTCCAATTGATCTTCATGATCATATGGTTTGCCAAGAATGGCAATTTGATCAAGACGAGTTAACATTCCTTGCATATACTCATCAATAGTCTTCGTACCTTTGGTGTAGTTTTTAATCTGAGCAGTGAGTTGTTTCTTATGGCCACGACTCGGATTGGCATATGTTGATGAAAGCTTCGTCCAGATCTCGGAGGCGGTGGTGGCGCGAGACACCAACGGTTGCAGCGGCTGCGAGATGGCACCGAGAAGGGCGCTATAGATCAGCTTGTCCTGACGACACCATTTGACGTAGTCTGGATTGGAGGATGTGGTTGCACCAACGGTGGTGGTTGCAGGCCGAGCAGTGGTGGTACCATCAAGATGACCAGCTAGACCATGCCCATCAAGGAGAGCATTGACTTGGAGGGTCCACATGAGGAAGTTGGTGCTGTTGAGTTTGGTAACGTTGGACATATTGATATTAAGAACGGTGTTGGTCGTAACGGCAATTGTTTCGGTAGTGTTGGTGTTCATGGCGGCTGAGAAAAAAAAATAAATAAATTGAAGAAGAGAGGCTGTTTTTAGGTTTTTAGGAGCGTATGCTCTGATACCATGTAAATGGTGAATGTATTAATCTCATTAGAATAGCTTTACATCAGATTTATACAATGAGACGAGAGGAATTAGAGGAGAATCAGAGAGAAATTAGGAGAAAATCAATTATAATGAAGACCTAAATATATACTTTCTATATCTAGTTAATACCTCTCATTGGTAAAGAGATTCAAAATGTAGAGATTATGCAGAGGATTTCGAATCAAGAGCCAGCTTCCATAGGTTGCTATGCAAAAACTCTTTGCCATTTCCAAACCCAGATCTTACGTTCTGTAAATTTTGTCTTTTTCCTCGGGATTGGACAACGTTCAAGTATAACTGTTGATGTTATCGTTGTCTTTGGGAAGATAATCAGCCAAGGGAGGATCTGATTGTTTTTGGGCAAGCATTGTTTTGAAGCAGAGTGCCACGACGAATATACGGATTTAGCTCGCTGGAAATTAGTAAAGCTTAGGCGTTTGAAAACAGAATTCAAGAGATCTGGAGGAAGATCGGACCAGGATTTGGGTGTATCTCTTCGTCTGAGACGATCATGAGGATTAGGGTTATGCTTCTCCTCGATCTCCATATCGAGACGATTGATTGTTTTCCCTTTCTCATACCCTCAGAAGTTCCGTATTTATACATACCCAGACCGTCTTACTACAACCTAAATTACTAAAATACTAAATTTCTTAGCATTATTTGATTTTGGGTTGCAACTGCGGTTGAGATTGGCGGTTGATAAATAGAAGGTTGTTGGGCGTTTGCGGCGGCTGGAGTGGCTGGAGCCGTGGAAAGTATAAACCAGATCAGAACCGGAGACTTAATTTCTTTGTTGGAACAACAACTCATTGATTGCGAAAGGATGTACAAGTGGTGAGTTAGCAGCCGCTTTGATGTATATTAAGGACAACGAACGTGGTATAGAAAAGGATAAATATTATCCTTTTGAAGGCAAAACTAATGCCACGTGCAAGAACATTGAGTTTTGTATGTAAACCCAACATAAATGACCATTTTTTGTAGTTTTGATTATGGTAAGTTATGTGATCATTCATTTTGTTTTCATCCTGTCGATGGTTACCTCTCGTTTTGTAACCATTGATGGTGTCGGATATGTTCCTCAAAATGATGAGATGTCTTTGAAGAAAGCTGTTTCTCATCAACCTATAGCTGTAGGACTTGAATTCTATAACTTATCATTCACTGGAAAGGTAATCCCAATTGACAATATCACTAAAAAGCTTGATTTTTTATATATAAAAAAATAATAAATAAAAAGTTGTGATCAAATTTTCTTTTTGTTTTTCTTGTGTTCTTCCCCAGCGTGTGTTTAATGGACTATTTTGTTCGATTCCAAACCACAATGTGCTAATCGTTGGGTATGGAACATCAGAAGAAAAAGGAGACTATTGGCTTATTCATAATTCATTCGGACCAGCGTGGGGAGACGAGATATATTTTAGGCTAAAACGTAGTAACATCCAAAATTCAGGCGGGATATCTGGGATCACATATAATCCTGTATACCCAATCAAGTTGTTCTCGTCATCTGATTTGTTGTCTCCGAATGTAAAAGATACAGAGGAGAGAAGATGATCGAAAGAATTTCTGTGTTATGCACTCTTTTAGAACACAATACATATATATATACGAGCAGAGTAGAATCTACATTCCTAAAGTAATCCAGTCACATTTAATCTCAGAATATACACATCTTGAAGAGAAAGATAATCAAGGTGATTGAGCCTCATTCAACGGGATATGATATTAACGCCAATACCCTCCCTCAAGTTGGAGCATGTAAGTCCTCAATACCCAACTTGCCGCGAAACTCGTTGAACTCTCGTTTTCCCAAGGCTTTGGTCAATATGTCTGCTAACTGGATCTTCGTTGAAACATGGTTTGTCTGAAGCGTCCCATTCAAGAGTTCATTTCGGAAAAAATGGCAATCGACTTCTATGTGTTTTGTGCGTTCGTGAAATACCGGATTAGAAGCGATGTGGATTGCAGCTTTACTGTCACAATTCAAAGACATTGGTGCTGGGTGACTGATTCCCAAATCTGCAAGCACTCTTTTCAACCAGATCTGTTCCGATGTAACATAAGCCATTGCTCTGTATTCGGTTTCCGCAGAGCGACTTACGGTTTTCTGCTTCTTTGTTTTCCAAGCTATTGGGGAATCACCAAATTGCACAAAATACCCAGTAACAGATTTCCTTGTCAACGGGCAACTCGCCCAGTCTGAATCACACCATCCATGAATTTGCAAATCTGAAGTGGAGTTAAGCAAAATACCTTGTCCAGGACAACTTTTTAGATATCGAACAATTCGCAGTGCCGCCTCCCAATGTTCCTTTCTAGGAACTTGCATAAACTGTGCCATAACATGAACTGAATATGAGAGTTCAGGACGTGTTACCGCTAAGTAGATGAGACGGCCGATCAAACGATGGTAACGTTCAGGATCATCAAGTATCGGCCAAGTAGAGAGCGCTAATTGGTGATTCTGTTCTAAAGGGAAACTTGCTGGCCGAGCATCATTCAGTCCCACTTTGTTGATGATGTCCAAAGCGTACTTTCGCTGACACAAGTAAAACCCACTCGAATTTCTAGCCACTTCAATTCCCAAGAAATATTTCAATTGGCCCAGATCCTTCATGTGAAAGCAGGAAGATAAATATGCCTTAAAAAATTTCATAGATTGAGCCGAGTTACTGGAAATAATGAGATCATCTACGTAGATGAGAACATTCACACAGACATCTCCTTTCTCATACAAAAATAAGGAATAATCAGAGAGAGATTGCTTAAAACCGTATTCCTTCAATGCAGTACTCAATTTCGCAAACCAGCACCTTGGTGCTTTCTTAAGACCGTAAAGAGATTTTCGAAGTTTACACACCTTGGACGAGTCGGTAGTCTTGAATCCCGGTGGTAATTTCATGTAAACCTCTTCGTCAAGGTCTCCGTGCAAAAAAGCGTTATGGACGCCCATTTGTTGAACGTCCCACCCTTTAGCTGCAGCTACTCCCGAAAACAGTCTAACAGTGTCCATTTTTGCGACTGGTGCGAAGGTTTCCTCATAGTTTTCTCTTTCAATTTGGTGGTTTCCCAAAACCACAAGTCTTGCTTTATATCTTTCAATAGTACCATCAGCTTTGAGTTTGATCTTATAAACCCACTTACAGCCAAGTGCTTTCTTTCCTGGTGGTAAATCCACTAAATCCCATGTATGATTGAGTTCCAGCGCCTGTATTTCAGATCCCATGGCACCTCTCCAATTTGAATTAGCAACTGCATAACGATAAGTTTTAGGTTCCACCATTTTTATTTCCGCAACCTGATACGCCTGATGTTTTGGTGTGAATTTTGAAGATGTGATATAAGACGACATCGGGTAGAGAGAGGTTGCAGAAGGAATATCTGCGCCAGTGAGAGGAACAACTTGAGCAGCGTTGGTGACGAAATTTCGGAGTGTCACCGGTGGTTGCCGCTTTCGATGACCACGACCCAGTAGAATTCCCGGTGGATTGTCAGGGATTGCGGTAGAATTTCCAGCATCAGCAGAGTCATCAGCTTCAATTTCTGGCGGATTAACTATGGGTTCTGTGGGTAACGATGTCGAAGAAGACGAAGTAACAAGAGATGTCGTTGTTGGGTCTGATTCTATTTGTGGATATTGGGCCAGAATTGGGCCTGTTTGTCTTGGATGAAGTTGTGGCTTGTCCTCTACAATTGGGCCTGAAATCGGAGCCCACAAAGTTAAATCCTCAAAATCATCATCTTCTTTATTCCTCTGTAATCCACAATCGTGAAAAGGAATTTCAGTCTCGCAGAAGACCACGTCTCTGGAGACAAAAAATTCTTTCTTCTCCATATCATGCAATCGCCACCCTTTCTTTCCAGTAGGGTAGCCGACGAAGACACATCTTCTTCCTCGCGGTGCAAACTTGTCTCCTTTATGCCCTTGATTATGAGCATAACACAAGCTGCCAAAGACACGGAGATGATCATACGATGGTGCACATCCATGAAGTCGTTCATACGGTGTTGACCCATTAAAAACTTGATTTGGAGTTCTGTTTATCAAATACCCAGCTGTGAGAGTACACTCGCCCCAAAATTCAATTGGCAAATTAGGGTTAAACCGAAGAGCTCTTGCGATGTTAAGTATATGTTGATGCTTTCTTTCTACTTGCCCGTTTTGTTGGGGAGTGCCAACGCATGAAGTTTCGTGTACAATTCCTTTTGTTTGAAAGTATTCCGAGAGACAGACAAATTCCGTACCATTATCACTTCGGATCGTTTTAACTTGTTTCTCAAATTGCCGTTCAACCAAACTGATGAAAATTTTCAATTGTGTTGGTGCTTCAGTCTTATCAGCAAGTAATGATAACCACACAGCTCTGGAGAAATCATCAACTATCGTCAAAAAATACCGAGCACCAGAATGAGACAGTGTTCGATACGGTCCCCAAAGATCACAATGTACCAACTGAAAAATCGAATTTGTTTTATTCAAACTAACTGGGAAACAAGCTCGTGTTTGCTTAGCGCGGAGACACACATCACACGCTTTATTGGAAATTTCAGAAGAAATTGAAAACGATACATCTGGTAACAGACCAACAATCTTCGCTGAGGGATGACCCACACGGTTATGCCACAAGTTGTAGGTGTCTTCAACTCGTGTTGTGACCGCTCCCACTGTCTCCATACTGCGAAAATGAAAGGTCCCTCCCTCACGTTTACCCGCTCCAATCACCGTCCTCGAAGTGCGGTCATGGACAACAAGGAAGTGGTCAGCCATTTGCACTACACAATGATTCTCATCCATCAACTGTCCTAGAGAAATCAAATCTGACTGAAATCCCTCTACGTAGAAAACCGACTTCAAAATCAAACCAGAACCGAGACGAATTGTTCCTTCTTTTACTGAGATCTTTTCATGACCATCAGCCAAGATGATTATCACAGGTGTGATGTTTCGTACATCCGTTAACAGCTCAAAGTTTCCTGTCAAATGATGCGAAGCACCAGTGTCCAAAATCCAGAAAGGTAAAGAATTCGTACCGGTGAGATGTTCGGTGGTGGTGTTCTTTCCGCCGTTCAACAGATTGACCAAAGCACGCCACTGGTCTTCCGACAATCCTGCTACTCCATCTCGATCACGATCCGTGACAACATAGTTAGCACGTTCAGTATTTTTTGGAGCGCTAACTGTCACTGCATTGGCATACATCGATGAACCTCGTCCACGTCCCACTACCGTCGAAGAACTCGCTCCACGACTTTGATTTTGGGTAGATCGTGACTGAGGTCGATCTCCCCACCACTCCGGATAGCCGATCAATGCATAACAACTCTCGGAAGGGTGACCTCCTCGGTTGCAATGCTTGCACACAATGCCTTTGTTTTTTTTCATCGCGACGGGGTGGTCGTGTCTGAACAGCAAAAGCATTTATCTCTTGCTGATCCTCATTGTGCACTTGCCTCTTCAGATCCTCCTCTTGGCGCACGATGTTGTAAACTTCCTCCAATGGTTGGATTGGTTGACGGGACACCAAGCTGGACCGAACAGTACGGAAGAAAGTATCATCAAGTCCATAGAGAAATTGATGAACCTTATCTTCTTCACGGTCAAGTTCTTGCTGCTCCCACATCACATACGCACTTGCCGCAGGTACAGGTTCGCAGAGGCCGGTACGACGCTAGGCTATCCCAGATCTTATTGAGTTTGCCAACGTATGTCTCAATTGTCAATCCACGTTGCTTGCAGCATGCAAGCTCTGCTTTGAGTTGCTGGATCCGAGGGCCATTTTTCACAGAGAACCTTTTTCGCAGGTGTTCCCACAGATCTCGAGCAACATCTCGATGTGAAATGTTTGAACGCAACGCTGGTTCAATCGTCATCTTCAGCCACGAAACCAACAGAGCGTTGATGGTCCACCAATCCTCAAGATCTGGTGAGTCGTCATTTGGTCGAGGAATTGTCCCGTCGAGAAATCCAAATTTCTTTCGGGAACACAAGGCTGTCTTCATACCGCAGGCCCATTCGTCATAGTTGGTGCCTTCAACAGTGGGTGAGAAATTACTGCACCAGGGTTATCAGCGGCAGTCAAGTCGTATGGAGAGATGGTCCTTCTTGTCTCCATGATCATTGGGTTCGTTTCAGTTCCGGTCGTCGTCGTTGTGTTGGTCGGTGTCATCGTTGTGTTGGTCGGTGTCGTCGTAGTGTTGGATCCACTCATTTTCGTGTTTCAATGATGTTTTTTTTTTCAGAAAAAGAAAAGGTCAGGCTCTGATACCATAAAAGATACAGATGAGAGAAGATGATTGAAAGAATTTCTGTGTTATGCATTCTTTTAGAACACAATACATATATATACGAGCAGAGTAGAATCTACATTCCTTAAGTAATCCAATCACATTTAATCTCAGAATATACACATCTTGAAGAGAAAGATAATCACAGTGTTGAGCCTCATTCAACGGGATATGATATTAACGCCAATAGAATGTGTTCAAATTGGTTCTTTTATTTGTTATTCAGTTAATTGGGTTGCCCTTACTTTGATAAAAACTTTATCGAAGGCCAACCAAAAGGTTCATCGAGACTTAGCTTATTTTATTTCCACGAATAATGAAACTTGGTCTCTAAGTTGTTTCGGTTATGCAAATAAGGAGTTGGTCTTCCTATTTGTTAAGATCCAGTTCCACTTTCCATAAGTTATAGAAGTGAATCATTCCATCTGTTGTGGATTAAACTCGAAATAGACTTGCCATTCGAACACTCAGATCTCACAATCTCTCAAAAACAAAATCAAAATTAGAAGAAGACGAATACCGAAATATCGAATAAAATAAAGAAGACACACACTTAACTGAGTTCAGGCCCTCGATGCGAGTAAGTCCTACGTCTCTGCCTGGTTCTCCCAGTAATCCACTATATCTAGCTGAATTACACAATACAGACTCTCAGATTCAAGAACACACCTCATGAAGAAGATGATTCTTATCTAGCCGTTATAAACACGTGCGTACTATCTATATGTATATTATCTGTGTATAGAAGTCGGTTATAACAACTTAACCATAAACCAATGAGAATATATCCGGTTTAAATCAAAACTTAACCCAATTCCCAAATTAGACATAACCAGTCTCGGTTTAGGACTTGAAACAGAGTTGATTTTCAACACCAAGTTCAACACCATCGTACTTGTATTTGCTTCAATATAATATAAGATAAAAGCCAAAAATAGAAAATCTGAATTTTGCCAAAAGTAAAGTGCTTTTACGTTTTTGAATCCCTTAAAGTGAGCTCTAATTTTGGGACCCTTAACAATTGGTAACATAGCAATTACTCTATCGTCTATTCATTCATTTTTCCATTCTCTCACAAGGTCATTCATTCACCAAATATTTCCATCATTAGCCAAGTTCAAGTATGTTTGACAAAATTTTATAAATAGTTTGAATCAATAAATACAGTTCTACGGAATGAAAAACATATGATTTATTGATCTATCACCTTTGAATTACAACGAGTTTGATATTTTTACAAGAAAGACATTCAAATATTCTGTAGTCTTTGGATATTCTTGTCGTCTGTCTAGTTTTTTTATTTGAAGTGGTCTCCTCCCCTTTTCTAGGGTTTTCTACCCTTTTTATCATTGTAGAAATTATAACATGTATATTTTGGAGTTTATCCATTCCGAATATCGAAGTAACTCAAGTAAGCAAAATTTGGTAGTTTCATCAAACCTCAGAGATCATAATAATCTCTTATCTTCTCGGATTTTATTTTATATTTTCCATATATCATATGTTTTGAAATAACTATCAAATTTCACATAAATATTATTCCTAAAAATATAATTATGGGACAGGAGGAGTAAAGGTTGAATCAGAGTAATGGAGGAAAGAAGAAGAGTTGGTTGGGTGCTGAGCTTTTAATGAGTATTTGTACTCGGTAGCAAAAGGAAAACTGATATTTAGAAGAATAACTAAACACTGTTTCGAGCACTGTTGAATTCCCATACATCCGATAATGTCTCTACTTAACCCATGACTCTACACAGATACATCGAGATATAGTATTAGATATTGTGTTAGAATAAATAGATAGATATATATAGTCATAATGAATGAAGAAACAGTATATGGATAGAGATAATCGCTTTTCGTTTAAGGGACGACAGAGCTCGGGGAGAATATTCGTGGCCAACAAAATTAATACCACAAAACCAAAACTATCAACGCCATCCTCGACACTTTAGAAGATGATGAGATGCGAAAAGCCATCATTCTCGGATATTTAAGCTACACGAAATGTTGAAGACCCCAAAATATTATATGTTAGGTAAATAATTTAGCAAGTAACATTCGAGGTAACAGACTTGTTATCATTTGCATCAGTGTAAATTAAACGTTAGAAGACTACCCATCGTCGTATATCCGGTAAACTAATAAATAGTTGCATATAGTTTATGTTATAAGAAACCTGTAAACTAACACAGAACTCATAAACTAATGACCTATCTATTTTATTAAAACAGAAGCACATTTAGTGCTTGCATCCAAAGACTCTCAAAGTTTTTTTTATAATGTTTTATTTTATTTTTATATTTAATTTTCGAAAATTAGTTATTAATTTAATTATTTTTAGATTTCCTAAAATCTAGGTCATCTTTAATTCAAATTTTAAATTATTAGAAATTTAATTAAATTTAGTTACAAAAATTTGCATTCAATTTAGTTTAAATTCAAAAAAATCAAAAAAATTATAATTAAATTTTATTACGAAAATTTAGATAATAATTTTAATACTTTAGAATTTCTTAAATACAGGAAAGATTTAATTTTAAATTTTAAATTTAAATAATATTTTTATAAAAATGCATAGTAAATAAATATTTTGTCGTATTTTATCATACACAATTGGTCTAAAATATCATATATTTGAAATTAATAATATTTATATTATACAATAATATGATCGAGCTGATTAGAGTTATATATATATATATATATTTTAAAGTCCATGAGTTAATTTATTAAAACATATAAGATATTAAGATGATTTGAGACAATTAAACTAACAGGTTAGCCCGTTTATATATATATATATATATATATATATACATATACACATATTTTTTTAATAGCACAAATAGTAAATAAATATCTTATTATATTTTTTCATAATCAATTGGTCCAAATATTCCATATTAGTAAATATCTATAGGGTTATACAATTATAATTATAGTCTTATACGGGTTAATTTGTCAAAACATGTAAGATATTAAAAATGATTTAAGACAACTAAACGGATGGATTAGCAAATTCATAGATTTAAAGATTGTTTATGTGTAAATCTAAATTCACATAATAACAAAGTTTATAATTAACATTAGATCAATGTATACTTAATTAACGTATACTCTTATTCTACTAATATACAAATTTTACTGTTTAAAATTAAAATAAGATAACAATTTTTTGATTTAACAAAATAAATAACAAAAACAAATTATATATAAACAAAAAAAGATAAATGCAACGTATATTAGAAATAAAAATAAAACATTCCCGTACGGACGCACGGGGTTAAAATCTAGTATTTACATTAAAATTACTATCATTTAACACTGTTGACGAAAAGATGAGCAGCAGATTGGAATTACATTAAATGGTTCTCCTTGCATTATGCTGAAATTTTTTCTATGTAAGCTTATGGCTCCTACAGTTACGAAAAAGTGCTCTTAAGTGCCATACAAATACGAAAAAGAATGGATGTACCAAAGGAATTTACATTCTCTACAATGAAGATATATGATCGAACGACTGGCCTTTACAGTCATATAACACACATTATATGCAGCAGATGTTTACAGTTTACTACCACGGCTGAAAAATGATATTTTGAAGTTATTATCTACAAAGTGATATATTTCAAATCTCATTTCTTTACGTACTTTTCAGATTCATATATCCAAGCCTGACCCAGAAGGGATGGGTGTATGAAAAAGTGAAATAAAACTGACTACAGACTATATTGTATTGAAATTATCTTAAGCATCTAGATCAATGAATATATACAATGTCTTAAATTCATCGATTGTTCTTACGTATAGAATGGGTAATACACAACATTATATCCAAAAAAAAAAATCAGTTTTGAGAACACAGTATAAAGTGGGTTATAAACAAATATTATATCTAAAAAAGATTAATTTTAAATTATGTTTCTAATTTTTTTTTTTCGGCAAGGTAGTCCATTCATTACATACACACTTATGTCAAGTACAACAAAGAGTTTCTTATTAATGTATTCGTATGGGCTCTAACGTGCCAATTAATTGAGAAATATTAATTTTAAAATAATCTTTTTTGCTTTTCTGTGTTCATTACAGAACGTGCCATCAAATAATAAAATCTGATGATACGTAAGAACAAGCCAATACGAAGAAGAGATTCGACCTTCCCTCTCGCTCTCCACTTCGCTCTTTGTTTTTACTCAAGTCAACGATCAAATTATCCCGCTCTCTATAAATAGTTTGAGTTAACAGTGGTAGAAACACACCAAAAAAACCAGAAAGAGAAGAGCAAAAGAACAATGGCCATAAGTTCTATAACCCTAGCTCTCTTGACCCTATCGGTGTTACTATTTTCCTTGTCTCTAGGCGTCGTCACAGCAACAGAGTCGCAGCGGAATGAAACGGAGGTGTGGCGGATGTACGAGAAATGGCTTGTGGAGAATGGGAAGAGTTATAATGGTCTTGGAGAGAATGAGAGACGGTTCAAGGTCTTCAAGGACAACTTGAAGCTCATCGAAGAACACAATTCGAATCCTAACCGGACTTACGAGCTCGGGTTGAATCAGTTTTCAGATCTGACGGCTGATGAGTTTTCAAGTTATTTACTTGGGGGAAAGATGGAAAAGACAAGTGTATCAGCAGATATAGGAGATAGGTATCGGTACAAGGAAGGAGATGATTTGCCTGATGAAGTTGATTGGAGGAAGGAAGGAGCAGTTCTTCCACGAGTCAAAGACCAATATCAATTTGACAGATGTGGTATGATTTTCACATTTCGTAGCATTATATAATTCTGGATTGCGGTTGAGATTGGCGGTTGATAACTATATAGGAGGTTGTTGGGCGTTTGCGGCCGTTGGAGCGGTGGAAGGTATAAACCAGATCAGAACCGGAGATTTAATATCTTTGTCGGAACAACAACTCATTGACTGCGACAGACCAATGAGCGATGGATGTGATGGAGGTATGGCAGGATACGGTCTTCAGTTCATTGTGGACATAGGTGGTATAGTAACAGATGAAGATTATCCTTATGTTGGCAATACTACTGCCACGTCGTGCAGGAACATTGAGGTTTGTGAAAACCAACATAAATGACCGTTTTTGGTAGTTTTGACTATGGTAACTTATGTATTCTTACATCTCTGTTTTCCATCGTGCAGATGATAACCACTCGTAAAGTTACCATTGATGGTTATGAGTTTGTTCCTTTATTTGATGAAATGTCTTTGAAGAAGGCTGTTGCTAACCAACCTGTAGCTGTTGGGATGGACTTCAGAAACATGAGAGACTATACACATGTAATCCCAGTTGACCCTGTCACCAAAAAGCTTGATTTTACTTAAAACCCAATACAAAGTTGTGAATCAAATTTTCTTTTTTGTTTTCTTTTTCTTGTGTTCTTCCTGATCAGGGTGTGTTTCAAGGACCTTGTTATGAGAATCAAACCCACAATGTGGTAATCGTGGGGTATGGAACATCAGAAGATGAAGGAGACTACTGGCTTATTCGTAATTCATTCGGACCAAAGTGGGGAGAAGAGGGATATTTTAGGCTCAAACGTAGTAATACCCAAAATTCAACCGGGATATGTGGAATCACAGTGATGCCAACATACCCACTCAAGTCGATCTCGTCATCTGATTTATTGTCTCCCAGTGTGTTTAAATTGGTTATTTTGTTTGTTTTTCATTTAATTGGTTTGGCCTTGTTTTGAGATTGACTTTATCGAAGGCCCACCAAAAAGTTCATCGAGACTTAGCTTCTTTTATTTCCTCAAATAATGAAAGTTGGTCTCTAATAAGTTGTTTCAGTTATGCAAATAAGAAATTGTTCTTCCTATTTGTTAGATCCACTTTCCATGTTTCCTTAGAGTGGTGAATCACTCCATGGTACTTGTAGTTACTTTAATATTTTTTTATTATTATTTGAGTAATCATTTACATAAATAAACCTTACTTTGTAAAATATTATAGAATACTTTACATAAATTAACTTTTATTTATAATATATTATACTGTTAAACTTTATACATTATTGATGGACTTTCATAGGCCAAAATTGCAGGTCTTAAATAAAAATAAACTGGACCAAAATTGTTTTAGGAAAAAAAATTATAATCTATGAAAGAATGTGTATATGAAAAAAAAATACAACAGAATATAATTATCATTATATGAATACAAAAAAAATTCTAATCTACGAGAATATATATATATATATATATATGTTTTAGATTATCTCACAATTTCTCTTTTTTTTCCTAAAAATGACTTCATGCATAGATTAATTCATTTTTTATAATTCAGCCTAAAAATTAAAAGTGACTTCATATACGTACTAACTCATTTTTTAAAGTTCAGCCTAAAAAATATGTACTATATTATCGTAAAATTTATAACAATAATTATATTTACAAAATAACTGTTTTTACAAAATTATTTTATTTAATTGAAAGTCAAAAAAAATTCTCTCGTGTTACAACACGGGTTAATCCCTAATACACATGTACAAGAGTAAAGCCAAAAAAATAGGCAATACTAAGTGCCAAAAGTAAAGTGTTTCTACGTTTTTGAATCTCTTAAGTTGACCTCTAATTTTGGGACCCTTAAAAATTTGTTCAAGAGCATTGGTCTATCTTCAATTCATTTATTCATTCATCCATTCACTCAAAAAAATATTCACCAAATCATTACTAATGTCAAATCTTATAGAATGTGATAATATTATTGACTTCTTGGTTTAATCAAGATCATAAGACACATATATTGTTTAACATTGACATATTAATAACACCAAATAATGTAAATGTTCATAATATTATCACAAGAGGATTTCTATGAAGATAAAACAAAAAATTAAACAATAGATAACAATATTAAAAAGAAAATGAATGAAAACAAAAAAAAACTAAAAAGGGAAAATCATTTTTCCATTTAAAATATTGGGATCTTCTATCACAGTATTTATTCATATTATGCACGGAAGTCTTGATATCCAATATAAAAAAAGCAGAAAGCCATTAATTACTTACGGGTTTCAAAATTGCGAGAGCATATTTGCCAATCTCTCATTACTTTTTGTGAATGACAGTTCATTTTTTTTTCAAAGCAATGAATGCCAAAAAATTCTACAAATATACTAAAGTAGTATAAGTTTGTGTCGGGACAACAAATAAATTTTGACAAATCATCTCTACAATTTTGCCAGACGGTATTGGATAAAGTAAAAAGCAAGCTAAAGCGGGTCCTAGAAAAATCGAGAAATGGAGGCACTGAAACTTATCTTGGCATTTCAAAGAGTCTTAGAGGTGCAAATAGTAGAATATTTAATTTTGTAGCGGAATGGCAATATGATCAAAATTAACAGTTGGACATCAAGTTTATTATTAAAAGGGGGCAAAAAAGCTTTAATTAAATCAGTGGCATCTACAATATTCACCTTTGTTATGTCATATTTTCGGTTACCTAAATCTACAATAGTAAAACTCCAGTGCAGCGATAAGATACTAGTGGGGTTCAAATGACTAACAAAAAGGAATGTATTGGATAGTATGGGGAAAAATGTGCCAAAGTAAGAGATTAGCCATCATTCTCAGGAAGTTAAGCTAATCCTGTGTTACCAACAAATTAAAATAATAGGTAAATAATTTAGCCAATAACATTAGAGTTAACAGACTTGTTATCATTTGCAACAGTGTAAACGTTAGACGACTACGGACTACCCATCGATGTATATACGATAAACTAATAATTAATTGCATACAGTTTATGTTACAAGAAATAAACTAACACAGAACTCATAATATAATAACCCATATTTACATTAAAATAACTATACAAGAAATAAACTAACACAGAACTCATAATATAATGACCTATATTTACATTAAAATTACTATCATTTTAATACTCTAGTGACTGAAAAGATGAGCAGAGATTAGGGTCAAAACTAATAGTTCTCCTTGCACTACGCTGAAAATTTCCTATATAAACATCTAAGTCATTCAGTTACGAAAAGTGCTCTTTAAGTTCCATGCAAATACGAAAAAGCATGGCTGTACGTACCAAAGGAAATTTTTTTTTTTGAAAATAATGTACCAAAGGAATTTACATTCTCTTCAACGAAGATATATGATAGAACGAGTGATCTTTACAGTCCTATAACATATTATATGCAGCAGATGTTTACTACCTTGGCTGAAAAATGATATTTTGAAGCTATTATCTACAAAGTGATACATGTCAAATCTGATTTCTTTACGCACTTCAGATTCATATTTCCAAGCGTCACCCAGAAGCGATTGGTATGAAATTGTGAAATAAAAGATAATGTAAAACTGACTATAGACTATATTGTATTGAAATAATCGTAAACATCTAGATCAATTAATACAATTTCTTAAATACATGTTTTCACCTAAAAATTTTAGTCATTGATTTTTCTTACGTATAGAGTGGGTTATACACAATATTATATCTCCAAAAAAAAAAGATTAGTTTTGAGAAACAGTATAAAATGGGTTATAAACAAAGTATTATGTCAAAAAAAAAAGATTAATTTTAAATAATGTCTCATTTTTTTTGTATCGGCAACGTAGTCCATTCATTACATACACACTTATGTCAAGTACAACAAAGAGTTTCTTATTACTGTATTCGTATGGGCTCTAACGTGCCAATTAATTGAGAAATATTATTTTTAAAATAATCTTTTTGTTTTGTGAAAAAAAAAAATAATCTTTATTGTTTTTATGAGTTCATTAAAGAAACTAACCTGGTGCCATCAAATAATAAAATTTGATGATACGTTAGAGCAAGCCAATACGCAGAAGACGTCTTATCCGATCCGACCTTCCCTCTCGACTTCTCTCTTTGTTTTCTTTTAAGTCAACGATCAAAATATCCCGCTCTCTATAAATACTTATTACCCTAACGTGCAAAATCGAGCCATGCAAATAATTAAACTATACCATGTACATCAGTGAGAGGTTTTTAGCATTTTAATATTCTTATTTTTTGGATTTTAATATTCTTCTTTTTTAAATAAAATAAAAAACTTAATTCGGCCAAATGATATCAGTCCACGTCATTATTGAATCTGTATCTTGAATCTCTTATTTAAGAGACGGTTCAAGAATTTTAGCCTATTTTCAATTTTTTTTTCTCAAAACACCTAAGAACCTGGGCAGTGAACCCTAGGTGAACCTCTGATGTAGATAGGTTTTAAATCAAACCACTACGAAGCCTTTCCTCTCTTTTTTTCTTTTTCGTTTTCCCACTTCTCTCAACGACCAGAATTTCTCATGCTATAAGAGCATGTCCATTAGTGATACTGTAAATGGGGTTGTTAAGTTTTTAATATTATTATTTTTTGGATCTGTAAACAGTGAAAGAACAGTGAAAAAACAAGTCTAAAAAAAAATGGCACATGTCAAAAAAATATTCATACTGAACGATCAATCAAAACAAGCCACGTCTTGTATGAGACTATTTCTAAAGTCTCTTAATTAAGAGACAGGTTGATAAGAAAAAAACCATTTTCTTAAAAAAATATATATATATTTTGGCCTATGATACCGTGCCCAAAAAAGTTTTAGACCATCTCCATCCCAAGGTTTTAGTGGGGATATAAGGAATTTTAAGCATTTAAAATAAATCAAAAAATAATTAAATGCTTATATATTGAGTTCATAAACTCTTCCATAAGAACTTCTCTCTCCTGAATATATATCAAATTTAATAATAAACAATGTTTAACAACCCTTCATGGGTATGAGGGGTGGAGATAATCTTAGAAACCCTGATGGATATGGTCTAAGTACTTTTATTAGAGCACCCCCATCGATAATATTTCAGAGGGTATGTGATCATTAAAAATAGAAAAAAGTAAAAAAAGATGAGAGAGAAAGATAATTGGTTCTCATTTGAGAACCCAAAAAAAATTGAGATACTTTTGTAAAATATTTCACTCTTTTATTTGTTAAATTTATTTTGACAAATTTAAAATTTAATTAATTAATTAAATTACAAAAATTAATAAAATTATATTTGGTGCACCGTTGGAGATGTTCTAACACTAACAGAAATCTCAAGAATGTCATTTTAATATATGAGTTTTTGAATTTTGATAGTTTTACACCGATTCAACCCCTTTAACCTGTTTAATGGATGTTAATAAACATTGTTTAGTGTTGAAAAAATGTGGGTTAATTAGACTTGAAAAGACTACTGTTACCCTTAGTTTATCACCAAATCAATTGAAATCCTGGATTTTTCTTCTCTTTCTCTCAACCTAAACTTAGAAAAATCAAAAATGGAAAGCCAAATTTCAGGGTCAGATGCAAACTCATTCCGTCAGAGCTTTAACCAGAAGAATGATGGTCCTCTCTGTCACTTGAGCAGAGCGACTTGGATGTCTAAATTATGGACAGACGAGAATCCGGGGAGAAAGTTTTTCAAATGCAATGTTCATGGTTTTTTTTACTTGGGCAGATAAAGAAAAGTAAAATGGATGGCAGAAGGTGAGTTTATTGGAAGCCCGAGATCAGATTCGTCGTCTAAAAGAGGAAATTAATTAAGAGCTTTGAGAAGTGAAACAACAGATGGTGAGCACAACCGCAGGTGATTCAGCCATGGTGAACTTGGAAATATGGAAGAATCACGATGAAGAGATGAAGAAGCTTGAACACAAAGCTATGGCATCCAAAGAAAGGGAAAAATTGCTCCGCCAATTCGTTGCACTTTCGTGGGGGTGGATTCATCATAGTTACGGCTATAATCCTTAAAATGGCAAAGAATTAGCTCGAGGAGGTGGTTGTGATGACGAAGGAGCTCGAGCTGGTGCTTGTGATGATGAAGGAGCTTGAGGAGGTGCTTGTGATGATGAAGGAGCTCGAGGAGGAGGTGCTTGTAGAGGTGGACCAGTCATATCAACTGCCCTTGATCCCCAAACGTCGAATACCTCACCGAAAAATGGAGCAATATAACACCCATAACCTCTGGGAATAGGAGGTTGACCACGACCTCGAGCATGGTTTCCACGGCCTCGCGGGCGACCTCTACCACGCCCACGGCCTCCAAAATTTACTGCAGGTGGAGCAGTTGAATGCTATTACTCAGAAGAAGGCTGTGTAGAAGTTGAAGCACCTGGTGTTGATTGGCTTTGAGCTCTCCTCCTCTTGGGTGTATTTTCGATGCTCCATGGATCAACCTAGTGAAAAACCATTAGAAACCACTAGTTAACTTGTCAAAACAAATTCCACTAGTTAACCTGTTCAAAAATCATGACATACCGGAGTCTTCCGAGGTCTTCCCCTTTTCCGTTTAGGAGTTGTGTTAATCATAGGTGCTCTCTTACAAGTCCCTATATTATGGCCAATCTGCTTGTAGTTGCTACACGTTATAGTCCTTCCTCCTCTTGTGACTTTTGTAGGATTTGTGGAAGGCTCATGCGCCTCTTTAATCCGATCATATTTTTTGGGATGTCCTGGCATTCTTCTTTTCTCAGGGATTTGAATAGGATATTTTCCTGTCTTTTCCCACATTCTATCTCCATTTACGGGTTTGATGTTGTCTTTGTACGTATCTTGCCACTTGGGTGTCAAATAGTAAGAATCCACAAAGCTGGAAAAAAATGAGTTATAAATCCAGATAACATAACATTACTCACTCTTCACAAAACATTACTCACTCTTCTGGGTCACGATTATGTTCGGTGATGATATAAATGGTATGACGATAAAGTATTCTGGTGAGATCCCACTTTTACAATCAAAATGCTAGTCTGGAAGACATACCTCATAACTCTGAGCATGCTCTAAAAGTGAAACCCATTTTCCATTTAAAATAAAGAAATCTTATTCTATAAAGGAGAATGATTCAAAGTTCCTAACTCGCCAAATTGTGACCCGTGTTAAGTCAATCGATTAGATTTTGACACATATGTGTAATAAATTTCTAATTATATTCTAACATGTAATACGAACAATAAAATTAATCTTTATAATTGATTACTAATCTTAAATAATTGGGAATCCCTACGATTAGCGTGAAATATCTTCCATAACATTTTGGTCATCATTTTAAAACAATTTTTTTTCCCAATTTTTTTTTTAACTCATTCTCTGATTTGAAACTTTTGAAGAATATGTGAAAATAAAGTGAATATCAAAAGAATTTGCTAAACAATACCAAGTTGTCGTTGGTCTAACAATCGAGAGTGTTCTAATCGACTCAAAAGTTAGTTACTTTTTATTTTATTTAGTTTTATGATTCTTATTATCTATGCTAAATCTTATTCATATGTAGTTTTCTTTTCATCACTGTTAGAGTTAATTTAATTATTCTAATAGTGAAATGCACTATATATAATATTATCAATTACAATTTTATCTCTACACTATTATAAAAAAATGGTTTTATTTCTATATGACAATATATTTTACACCAATATAATATTTTTTTTAAGAATTTTTAGTTTTTCTTGTCCATATTTTCATTTCAAACTTATAAAATTTATAGATATCTTACTCTGCGCAAGGGAAAACTTGGTTACTATCTAGTTATTGAGTATTATAAAAACTTGGTTAGCTCCCATTGTTCTTAGTTATATTGTGGGTTCGAAAGGGAAAATTATAAAAACACCTCAAATGAGAGGTTTAGAGAGGGGATCTAAACAATAATAAAAAAAAAGTAAGAGAGAGATTCTAGAATCGGTTCTTAAAGTTCTCTATTAAGAACCCCATCCTAAACTATATCTACACTTGTCTCTTTTTTACTGGTTCCATTTTTTTCTAAAATCAATATTTAATTCTATAATTAAATATTTAATAAATTATTAATTTATATTGTTGAAAATCCATACTGAAGTACTAAGACCATCTCCAAATGTAAGTCTCCATTTTTTACTCAAAAATAGAGTTGTGTTTTGCTCCAATCTATGACTCCATTTTTGACTCCAAAAAAGAATATTCCTAATAGATTCTATTTTTCTTTTACTTTTAATAACCTATAACTTTTAAAAGTTACAAAATAACCCATTTATTTTATTTATCTAAAATATTTATAATTTACGAATTTAATAAAACTAAATATTTATTAAATAAATAAAATTACATAAAATCATAAAAACATAAGAAATTTTATTAAATAAAGAAAAATACAGAAAAACTATGCTTTGAAAGAGCTGAAGATTGGAAAACAAAATGTTATTTTATGACATGAGTTCCATATCAGATCCAAATATTCGTGCATATGTTCAAGGCGAACAAACAAAAATTTTACAAAAGCGGAATGCTCAACAACAAAATCAAGAATTTCCTCATCCATCAACTTCGTTTGGACAATATTTTAATGGTATCGGTGGATCAAGAAGCGATTTAGCAGAATATTAAATTGTTTGTATTTGTTGTGTTAAATTTTTATGTTTATCTTTGATTTTAGCACTTGTTGTATATTTTTCAGTTTATTTTAAGTTGTAATCTTTGGAAATAAAAATTTTAGTGTTCAAATATTTATGGTTGTCTATTTTTTTTTTGTTTTAAATTAGTAAAGTCTTATAATCTTGTCAAAAAAAAATCTTATAAACATGAATCATAAAATAAAAACTTAATTATTAAACCGATATATATATATATATATATATATGAAGATCATTTTTTAATTACATATATATATATATATATATATATAAGTTAAAGTGATATGTGTCACACAAATATTAGGTAGATATCTGAAAAAAGAAAATGCATATAACCATATATAATGTCGAGAATGTTGCTTGCTATATTGATAAAAAGGTATAAAATTATAATGATTTAATATTTTAAAGATCAGGTTGTAAATAAAAAAAGTATAACTGCAAAATGGAGTAGAATAATGTTTTACTTCAAATATGGAGCAATCTCTATATTTTCTCTATTTTGCAGTCAAAAATGAAGTAGAGTTGGAGTGATATTTAGTTCAAAATGGAGTTTGCAACAGAAAATAGAGCAGGGTTGGAGATGCCCTAAGACCATCATTAACGCGGTTTTTTAAATAGGTTTCTTAGGTGTTTTTGGAATTAAATAAAAGATAAATTCCTAATTAAGTTAAGAACCGGTTCTTATTTGGGACTCTTAAGCTCCACATGTCATGATCTGAGTGGACAGAGATCTTGAGAGATGGTTTATATCTTCTTTCTTTCTTCCCCAACGACTCCTCGCTTTCTCCGTCGCATTAATTGACTTTTTTGGGCTCCAAAAGGCAATTGGTCTCTATTTTCCTCTAGATTCTCAATACGGTAAGCACACATGACAAAACCATCTCTCAAAATTGATAATCTACCGATTTCATGGGAGAATTCTTTTCGCCATGGATGCTCTGTTTCGTGATTTTTTATGCTGTCTGTAATTTGATCTATAGCTGAAGCCAGCTCGTTGATGGATCAAATGATGGTTGATAAACCAATCTAATCTCAAACTTCCATCTATTTGTTTGGATTGATACCAGATTGTAAGTGTTGAGATGCTCAGAAACAGAGTATTTGTAGCTTGATCTTTACATAGTTTTCATATAAAGAGATCGATGTTTTAGAGATAATATGAATTCAAAAACTCATACTTCATTTCATAATGATCATCGTCTCTTAAATTGTTTTCTCATCGATTTATACAAAGAAAACACAACAATTATTCTCTAACATTCACCTAACTTCAAATATTTCCACTAACCTTACTTAGACTCTAAACAACATAGCTTAACAACACTTTCTGCTTTTACTGTTCTAACAATTTCTTTGGATTCCAACTGGTTCGGTTTAAAACTAAAAGGGCATTACTCAACACTCTCACTTGCCATTTTATCAATCAAACCGAGCTTGGTACGAAATCTTTTAAAACTCTGGCCTCCCAATGCTTTAGTGAATATATCTGCCAGTTGTTCTTCACCCTTGCAGTAATGCAGTTGAATCTCCCCATTTTTTTCATAATCTCTGACTACATGATATTTGATTTAGATGTGCTTAGTCCTTCTATGCTAAACAGGTTCTTTCCGATTGCTATTGCTGACTGGCTATCGCAGTAAATGGATACCACCACTGGAGTGTGAACCCTTAGGTCTTCAAGTAGTCGTCTCAACCAAGTTGCTTGGTTTGATGCTGCACACAGAGCCATATACTCTGCTTATGCGGTTGATTGAACGACAATATCTTGCTTGCTGGTTTGTCATGTAAAAACAACTGATCCAATGCTAAAACAATAGCCTGTTGTAGATTTTAGATTCTCTTTGCATCCTCCCCAGTTACTATCCGAATGACCAATCAGTTTAGATTCCTTCACTGCGTTGAACATTAGCCCTATACCGATTGTTCCTTTAATATATCTCAGAACTCTTTTGGCATCCTTGAGATGAGAAAATTTTGGTTCTTTCAAATACCTGGATAAGTAGGAAGCAGAAAACATCAGATCAGGTCGAGTAGCAGTTAGGTACAGCAAACCTCCTACTAAGCTTCTGTAGACACTGCCATCGGCAAGATCCTCTTCTTCATCTGGATTCTTATGCTGAGTTATAAGGGGTGTACTCATGATCTTTCATTTCTCCATATTGAACTTCTTCTACAGTTTTCTCGCATAACATTCTTGAGACAGGAATATACCTTCTCGGCTTTGAACAATTTCCATTCCAAGGAAATAGTTCATAACCCCAAGTCTGACATCTCAAACTCATTCTTCATTGCAGTCTTAAAGTCATTCACCATACTCTCATCATCTCCTGTGACAATGAGATCATCTACATAGATACAAACAACCAGTAACTTCTCGTTGTCTTCTTTTGTGTACAAAGAATGATCATTGTCACTTCTCCTGAAGTTTTCTCTCTTGAAAAACTCGTCAATTCTGCTGTACTAAGCTCTCGGAGCTTGTTTTAAACCGTAGAGAGCCTTGTGCAACTACAGAACATGTTCTTCCTTCTCTTTTCTTTCGAATCCCAGAGGTTTTTCAGCATATATCTCTTCATCTAATCTTTCAGTCAAAAAGGCAGACTTAACGACGAGTTGAAACCATTTCCATCTCTTTTGAGCCGCTACTGCAAAAAGCAGTCTGATGGTTTCATTTCTTGAAAATGGAGCAAAAGTCTTGTGGTAATCCACACCATATTGTTGAGTAAAACCTTTGGCGACTAGCCTCGCCTTGTGTTTCACCACATTTCTTTTGGCATCAGTCTTTAATCTGTATATCCATTTCACTCCCACAACGTTCTTGCCAGGTGGTCTTTCGACTAGTTCCCAGGTCTCATTCTTTTTGATCATCTGTATCTCTTCTTTCATTGCCTCCTTCCATTCCTTGTGTTTGAATGCTTCTTCAAACAGAGATGGTTCTTCTAAACTGCTGTAGCATCCTTTCATTACTGCAGAGTATTCTATGTCTGCGTATGGAGCAGTAAGTAGAATATATGAAAGTGATCGAGTTCTTTTGTTCACTCGCCTTGAGCTTCCTCCTGGACTTCTGTAATCGGTACTTGTGGATGCAGGGCTTTCATCTCATGGTTCATTATAGTTGTTTGGTTCTGCTTCTCCAGTTTCAGAGACTTCTTCTTCAGTTTTGATTTCAAGAGGTATGTTTTGATCCTTTACCACTTCTTTATTTCCCCAGTCCCACTTTCTGTCTTCGTCGAAGATGACATCTCTAGAGATGTCTATCTTGTTTTCTTCCAGAAGATACATTTTGTACCTTTTTTTTGAGACCTGTAACCAACAAATATTCCTCTCTTAAACTTATCATCTCACTTTCTTCTTTTCTCGCTTGGGATATGGACATAGTAGAGGCATTCGAATACTTTCATATGCCCTACTCCTGGTTTGGAACCATTCCATGCTTCAAGAGGAGTTTTTCTTTTTGGAGCTCTTGTTGGTGTTCTGTTTTGAACATAAGCGGCATTGTAGACCGTTTCTGCCCAAAATTTTAAGGGTAAAACTTTTGCTTTAACCATTGATCTGCTCAAAGTTTAATCCCTAAGCTACTCTGTAAGAGCACATATGTGCAGTTGTAGTATGTAGGGGTCGAACCACAGAGACAAGAGATCACTCAATAAACTTTATAGAGTTTGAGTTACGCTAAGAAGAAATATTGAAACTAAATGGCAATGCGACAGAAGTAAATTAAGCAGCAATAAAAATGGTTTGTAAGTTCGATTTGATAAAGATTAGGTCTAGGGCGTTTTTCAGGAGATCAATGAATGCATGTCAACTTAACTAATCAGGATTCAGTTTTAAGCACGGTTCTTGAACTCGAAACACAGAATTATAATTAACCAACTTCCGTTGTGAGAATTATCTAAGTTAAAATCTTAGAATTCCAAATTCCTTTGCAAATCCTACAGATTTAAACCAGCTTTAATGCACAAGTTCGATATGTTCACAAAGCATCTAAACCAAATTCCTTTGCGAATAGCTACTTTGCTCACCCTAGGTTCTTTCCAGTTATTCAATTACACTTCCGTGTCAATTAAGCAACCTAAGATCTAAGTTCTAGGTGATCAATCTAGAATAAGCATTAAGAACAACCTAAGATGAAGAACTAATAAATATGAACCCTAACTAGCAAGTTAATCAATCATTCAAAGCAAACCCTAATTAACCCTAAACCTAACAGGTGATCTACTCAGACATGATTATTGGAACAACAAACATGATGAATAGAAGGCAATAGATTAAATCAAAATAGATAAAGGGGTTCGAAATCTTCTCTCTAAACGAACAGAGTTTCAGACTTGTCTCCCCAAGCTCTCAAAAATCGCTAAAGCCGAAAACTCAGAGTATCTTTCTCTCAAAAATCTAAAGTATCGATAATAAGGGAATAAAAATCCTATATATATTTCTAAAACACGTTTTGGGCTTCCTTGGAAACGTTTAGGCCCAACTCCTTCTTCAAATAGGAAACAAAATTCGTCTTTTCCTTATTTCTTTGACAAGTGTCGAGCGTCACTCTCCATGGTGTCGAGCGACACTAAAGCACGAAATCCATCCTTGACGAATTTGATCCTAGTTTAGCTCCAAAGTGCTCCAAAATCTCCAGTTAAGCTCCAAGCGTACCTAAGACCTGTAAAGACTCCAAAAGACTCGAAAGACACCAAAAAAAATTCTATAAATAAGACCTATACCATGGTTTAAAATCATAAAAACCATGATATATCAACTCCCCCAGACTTAGCATTTGCTTGCCCTCAAGCAAACAGAATACCAAATAAAAGAAAGAGGTTTGAAAACACAGAGACTCAACTTTTCATTGGAACATCGCTTTTGACCGATCACCCTGCAACTCAACTACTGCTTCATCATTCCAAATCGAACCACCATGTACTTCTCCGTAGACATTCACAGCTTCCCAGATTAAGTCCAAAATTCCACAACATTGTCCATAAACCTTCATCGCTGGGTCTCACTGATGATTCAGATGCCAAGAACCTTCTAGACTCTTTCCCGTTCTATACTCAAACAAATCAGCCATACACACTTTGGTACTTTTTCTCTCCCCCAGACTTATTCTTTTCGCGCACTCATCATCTTTTTTTTTATGGCATATACTCGATAAGGGTAAAGCTGCGAGTACTGATGGTGTTTGCCATCAAGTCCCCGAGTTGTCCCCTTACCTTGTATCAAAGCTTTTCAGCGAATAGTGGGGTCATAGGAAACTTTCCTACCCCTCACTTCCTTCCTTTGTGTGATCATTCCAACTTAGAAGTGAAATAATTGGATCATTGGAAACATTCCTAACCCTTCACTCCTAAGCGAAAATCATCTCAATCTTTTCACCCTTTTTCTTTCTTTCTTCACTTTTTAGCTTGTCACAGGGAGAGAAACACCAGCATTAAATTTCACACAGGCTTTCATTTGTCAAGTATGAACGAGGAATCAAGCTCTATGAACATCAGTCACATCAATGAGTTAAAAGTGAAGTTCAGAACTTAGCTCAGGTTAGTGGATTCTGTTGGAAACATGGACGCCTCTAGTCAACTGGTCAGCCTTTGGATTTTTCATTAGTCGGATCTAGACTGAATCTGCAGCAGTGGTCACTTAGATGAAAGGTCAGCATAATAATTCCAGGAAAAGCATCATAATCTCCAACAAGTTTTGACTCAAAAACTTTTTGACACGACTGACTCATAAGAAAAACAGACACAATGTCAGCAACTACCTCCCCCAGACTTGAACAACACTGTCCCCAGTGTTATCTAGTCCGAAGTTGACGAAACAAGAGAAAAGAAACAGAGAAACACAGGAAAAACGGAGAACTTACCTGGCTGCAATGATGGTGTCGCGCGACACTTATGATGGTGTCGTGCGACACTTGTTCTCTTCGTACCAAATAGCAGCAGACCAATCTGAATTTCTGGTTTGACTCCGGTTACCTGATTTCCTTTTTTTTTTATTGGCGCCGTTGCCGGGGAGTCATGAGGAAGGAGTGATGATGATTTCTGAACAGGTCAGTGCTGTGATTCAGAATAAGATTCCAGAGAAACTCTCAGACCCAGGAAGCTTTGTTTTGGACTGCTCTATCTTCTCAGAGAGGTTCAAGAGATCGCTGTGTGATCTTGGTTCAAGTGTTAACCTAATGCCATACTCTGTAGCTGTTAGCCTTGGGATGACTGATTTCAAGCCAACTAAGATCTCTTTGATCCTAGCAGATCGATCTAAAAGAATCCCAAAAGGTGTCTTGGAGGATGTTCCGATTAAAGTTGGTGATTGCATAATTCCTACAGATTTCGTGGTTCTGGAATATGGAGAGAAACCCAAAGATCCTCTTATCCTGGGAAGATCGTTTTTAGCTACAGCTGGAGCGGTAATTGATGTCAAGCATGGTAACCTTGATCTCCACTTGGGAGATACCATCATGACTTTCAAGATGGAGAAGCTGAAGGATCCAACCATAGATGGTCAGACATTCCAAGTCAGTGCAATACCTGAAGTGATAGTTGGAGATCAGAACGTGTTTGATGCTGAGAAGGTGAAAGATCAACCTGAGTTGACTAAGACGTCTACAGAACCAGTAGCTGCTATTGCACAGAAAGCTCACAACATCAAGTTCCATTCATCTCCACCAAAGAATAGGTCAAGGTCACCCAAACACAGATCTCACCCTGGTGTTATTCCTGCATTCCTTGGACGACCTCATTGATAACTTAGAGTTTTCACTCTTTATAGAGGTTATCAATACCCCTGTCCTTGTAGTACAAGGGGTTATCAATCCAAGCTTGTAGTGGAGACACTATCTATGTCATTTGTTGACTTAAGTCAAGACAGATCGATGAAGGTTTTTACTAAGCTAAGTAACAAGCGAATGAGCATAAAAGTAAAGCAAATGATGAGATTTAAACAAAGCTAAGATGCAAATGACAAATAAACGATTCGGATGATGACAATGAATGATAAAGGCAGAAGCTTTAGACAGGATATTTGACTCGGGTGCTTCCAAGCTAAACTAATGGGCTAATGAATCATTTTATCAAGCGATTTCATTTGACTATGAACTCAAGGCATGTTAATCTTCTCATGAAAGTATTAAGCATCTAAACTGATCCTCTTTCA